GGACCTGCTGGAAAGGGCAGGTGACGACCAGTGGTTTCTGGTTTGCCTCCATGCAAAAATGGGGAGGCAGCAACAGAAGCAGCCATGGGCCACGAAAGGAGATGGACCTCTGGATCTCAACACTTGCCACCGGCACTGCTGGGAGACCTCACTGGGCATTGGTCCCTGTGGGCACAGAGCTGAGTGAAGGAAGCTGTGACCCTTCCCTTGATGCACTCAGAATTAGGGTACCCTGTTGTGAGAGCCAGGAAGGGCAGCTCGATATACCAGCAGGCTGGCTGGAAATAGGTGCTGCTGTTGAAGCAGAAAACAACTGTGTTTTACGATTGCTGGTCAGGTCAGGATGGGGTGTGTCCTGCTGGGGCATGTCCTGCTGGGCATTTCTTCTCCTGGGTGGAAGGAGGTTGTAGGCCACTGAGGAGAGTCCCAATGCCCCCATCACACTCATGTCTCCTGAAGCAGGTATCAGACCTGGATGACTGTGGCTGGAGGATGCTCTGCAGCAGAGGTGTCTGGCAGGATGGTGCTCGGCAGGCAGAGTCCAGCATCTCCTTATGTAACACAGTGCAAATCCATGCCTCAGTTTCCCCTACTAGCAGGAGACTCAGCAGCAGATTTGAGCAGCCTAAAATCAATAGTTTCCTGTGGGAACTTTGCCCATCAGTGAGGGGGGCAGGGCAGCCATGGTGTTTCCAGGGGCTCAGCTGGTGCTGCGATTGGAGCAAGCTGTTGGGGACTGCAAGAGACCAAGCTATTTCCAAATAAACCTGGAAAACCTGGACAACCCTTGGTGCACATTCCTATGGGAGCATTGCTGAGGGCTCCAGCTGGGAGGATTTAGAATCATAGAATCACAGAATGGATTTGGGCGTGGGTGACACACCCAAGAGCCACAAGCATGACTGACTCATGGTCATGGCCCGGCCCTGCTCCTTGCAGATGCCCATCTCACGCAGGCTGTGTGATACGCACCAAGAGCCACAAGCATGACTGACTCATGGTCACGGCCCGGCCCTGATCCTTGCAGATGCCCATCTCCAGCAGGCTGTGTGATACGCACCCCTCTGCTGCCTTCGGCATGGCCCTGGGGCTGCTCGAGGAATGACCAGAAAAGCCTTTTCTCCTGGGCTGAGCAGACAGGCTCTCTGATGGGATCAGGGGAAGCCGTGCTTGCATCTCTAATCTTTCTGCCAAACTGGAAAAATACAGCCCTTTGAAAATTTCATGAGGGTGCAGAGAACTGCCTGTCTCTCACCACCACGCGCTTTTGAAAGCCATTTAACTGTGACTGCAGTGACAAATATCAGCAGGAGACTCACGCTGGGGGGAGAGGGCACCGGAATTAAAGGATGAAATATTTATTTGAGAGTTTGGCAGCACTGGGAGGACGACACATGTGAGAGGCATCTTGGGGTGGACAGCGCTGAAAGCCACAAATGAGCCCATCCGGCTATAAACCATCACAATATGTCCCCTCCCTCCCCACCTCCCACCCCTTCCAGGATCGTTGCCAACCTCGGAAGGTACAAAGAGGGTTAAACATCCAGGAATGGCCCAAAGCTGTGGACAATCAGATAGAAGTGGGGTGCCTGAGACAGGATGGAGGAAGGGGAATGATAGTCCCACCTTAGCTTTAAACACAAGCTATAAACCCTCCGACGGATGGACATTGTGTCATGCCCATGAGGGTAGAGTAGGAATTGGGAGGTCCTGGCTCAGTCTGTGGGGCTAGCTCAGGTCCTGCATGGAGGGTCAGGATCATGAGCCTCCCTCCCTCCCTGGGTTCAGGCTCCAGACAGCAGTTTTTCACCTTTGCCAGCTCTCGGTGTGCTGGCAACGTAGCACAGGATAGCTGGGACCCCTGAGCTTTGGCCCTGGGTGGGAGAGCTGAGGCTGAGAAGCGACTCCAGGCCTGGAGGCAACTTCTGTGGTAGGTTTTGTGTCTTAATCAAATAAATAAGCTAAATTAAATTCCATCTCTCTGTGCTGGAGAGGATCCTATGAGTCTCCCAGTCTGGGATGTCCCACAGCATCAGGAGTTCCCATCCTCAGGGTCCCACTTTGCCTCTCCCAGCACTGACAGGTGCCAGGATAACATCAAGGGTTAATGCTGGATTATCTCAAGAGGCTACAGCCTTGTCAAAAGCACAGGATTGGCAGGGGCATTAATTTTGGAATTAATTCTGAAAT